CGACCAAGAATCGAGCCTGATGCGACGCCACAACCGTTGAGTTTTGCGATTTTTGTGAGGAATAGACCAATGACAGAGGCGGATTCTATCATTAAAGACCCAGGTGTAGCAGTCGAATTCGCTCGACAGATCTTCCCGCCGGAAGTCTAACAATCGATGGTCGGACGTCAAGATTTCAAAGTATTTCGAGACGGCATACATGGGGCTGTGAAAGGACTATATACTGCTCACGAAGTCGGCATGCGTTTGCAGGAAGCACGACGTGAGAGTGAGAAAAAGGACGAAAGGAATCGCAGTCTGGAGATTCGCACGGAAAAGGCTAAGCGTGAGCTTCGGGAGTTGAAGAATGTTCAAACGAGTGCGTCGGTGGCGGTCGGTCAATCTAAATTGGTTGTTGAGAGAGTGACCCAACAGACCTCGGGTTATGAAAAGGGGTTTTAGGATGGCCTAAAGGTCGGGATAGAGAAGACCAAACGAGACCTTACCGAGGAGGTCTGCCGATGTGAAAATCGTGGATTCAAGCACGGCTGGATCAAGGCCCTTCAAACCGAGGAAGCTCTTGAAGCCGTGGGCATTGATTCGGCCTCGCCCCTGTATCATCGCCACTACTTTCCTTATTCCGATTTCGAAATTGAGAAGAGCGACGTTGAGGGTGCCGAATGAATAGACTTTGCGCCAAATAAATAGAATTTCTTTTATTTTCAACGTTTGTATTCGGTCTTGAAATGTTGTGTTTAACTAATCGTATTATTTCAACTTTCCGCCAAGGTTTGTGTTGCCTGGCGCAAATATTTAAACATGTATTGACCAGCGTGAATTAAGAACGATTCTCAGTGAATATGTATTCAGCCAATGAAGTGGTGCGAATGCATCTCAAAAAGGCCAATCCGGAATCGGAGCCTTAATCGGCCCTAAGGTGTCATGCACCGAAAGGGGCTCCGAATGCAGAGACTTGATCGGCCCTAAGGTGTCATGCACCGAAAGGCGCTCCGAATCCGGAGATTTTAATTTGGCCAATCGTGATATCCACGAAGGGGCTCCGAATTCGGAGACTTTAATCGGCCCTAAGGTGTCATGCACGGAAAGGGGCTCCGAATCCGGAGACTTAATTTGGCCAATCGTGATATCCACAAAGGGCGCTCCGAATCTGGAGACTTTAATCGGCCCTAAGGTGTCATGCACCGAAAGGGGCTCTGAATCCCGAGACTTAATCTGTCCTAAGGTGTCATGCACCGAAAGGGGCTCCGAATCCGGAGACTTTAATTTGGCCAATTGTGATATCCACGAAGGGCGCTCCGAATCCGGAGACTTTAATCAACCCTAAGGTGTCATGCACCAAAAGGGGCTCCGAATCTGGAGACTTTAATTTAGCCAATCATGATATCCACGAGGGGCGCTCCGAATCCGGAGACTTTAATCGCCCTAAGGTGTCATGCACCGAAAGGGGCTCCGAATCCGGAGACTTTAATTTGGCCAATCGTGATATCCACGAAGGGCGCTCCAAATCCGGAGACTTTAATCGGCCCTAAGGTGTCATGCACCGAAAGGGGCTCCGAATCCGGAGACTTTAATTTAACCAATCGTGATATCCACGAAGGGCGCTCCAAATCCGGAGACTTTAATCGGCCCTAAGGTGTCATACACCGAAAGGGGCTCCGAATCTGGAGACTTTAATTTGGCCAATCGTGATATCCATAAAGGGCGCTCCAAATCCGGAGACTTTAATCAGCCCTAAGGTATCATGCATTGAAAGGGGCTCCGAATCCGGAGACTTTAATTTGCCCAATCGTGATATCCACGAAGGGCGCTGCGAATCCGGAGACTTTAATCGGCCCTAAGGTGTCATGCACCGAAAGGGGCTCTGAATCTCGAGACTTAATTGGCCCTAAGGTGTCATGCACGGAAAGGGGCTCCGAATCCGGAGACTTTAATTTGGCCAATTGTGATATCCACGAAGGGCGCTCCGAATTCGGAGACTTTAATCGGCCCTAAGGTGCCATGCACCGAAAGGGGCTCCAAATCTGAAGACTTTAATTTGGCCAATCGTGATATCCACGAAGGGCGCTCCGAATCCGGAGACTTAGTCGACCCTAAGGTGTCATGCACCAGAAGGGGCTTCGAATCCGGAGACTTAATCGGCCTTAATAGGCTTGGTCGGCCCTACGGCCCTAATGAGTCAAGGCTTGGAAGCGGGCTTGATAAAGCAAGAAACTTTGTATTGCAAAGGTGGAACATGTACAAGTATCAAGCCCACAAGTCGGGTCAGTGATAGAATTTACATAAATGTGTTGAATTCCAAGGCCGTGGCAGGCTTTTTCCTGACATGTCTGAGAGCCGATATGCCCCTATTCCTGTGATGGATTCTATTTGATAGGGGCCGTCCCAGTTTGGACCCAATTTTCCATCGGCCGGTCTCCGGTCGACTGGAAGTACCTTCTTCAGGACAAGCTCTCCTGGCGTGTATCGGCGCAACTGAACTCGCTGATTATACGACTTGGCGAGCTGCTGCTGATACCGTGCCATGGATGCCAGAGCGCGGTCCCTTCGTTCCTCGATGAGGATCAGATCCAGGGCAAGCATCATGCCGTTTCGGTCCGTGTCAAAAACTTGCAATTTTAGAGTTAGGAGGCCGATTTCCAGGGGTAAGATTGCCTTGGTTCTGAAGCATAGAGCAAACGGCGTTTCTCCAGTGGATCTCCTCGGCGTAGTACGATGAGCCCACAATACACTCGGCAATTCTTCCACCCATTTGCTTTTAGCTTTTTCCAGCCTCTTTTTGATGTCGTCCAAGATGGATTTGTTAGAGGCTTCGGCTTGACCATTGCTTTGGGGGTAGGCCGGTGTCGAGAAGTAACACTACAAGAAAACACATTTTTGGCGACTATTTTTGGCTACCAAAACAAATTTAGTCGCCAAAAGTGTGGGAATTGGCTACCAAAATTAATTTTAGTCGGCAAAAGTCAACTTTTTAGCTACTAATATTTTTTCGTAGGGGAATGTTCATTATTGGCGACTAAAAAAAAAATAGTAGCTAAAAATATTACAATTGGCGACTAAAAAAAATTTTAGTTGCTAAAAATATCACAATTGGCGACTAAAAGAAATTTAGTCGGCAAAAATGCTAGAAATTGGCGACAAAAAATAATTTTAGTCGACGTAGGTATAGATTTGGCTACTAAAACCCTTAGTCGGCAAATGTAAAATAAAAAATTAATTTTTGTCTTTGGCGACTAAAAATTTAGTTGCCAAAAGTTGATTTTCAGCTACCAAAAATACTTTTAGTCGCCGTAGGTATAGATTTGGCTACTAAAACTTTTAGTCGGCAAATGTAAAATAAAAAATTAATTTTTGTCTTTGGCGACTAAAAATTTAGTTGCCAAAAGTTGATTTTCAGCTACCAAAAATACTTTTAGTCGCCGTAGGTATAGATTTGGCTACTAAAACCTTTAGTCAGCAAATGTAAAATCAAAAACTTAATTCTTATTAATTTTTCTCCTTTTCCTTATATTTGCCCTAGCCCTTTACAGATGTTCTCTCTCTCTCTCTCTCTCTCTGAATCTCTCGATCCCTTCTCCTTCATGTTCTTCTCAATCCCAATCTGGTGATTCCGGCGGACTTTGCAAATGGAGTCTCACGGCGCCGGACTACGGCATGTTCTGGTGCTCGCCTTTTGCGTCGCCGGCATTTGGTCTGCTTGTATTTACCAAGGGGTCCTTCAAGAGACCGTGTAAGTCCTCTCTCTCTCTCTCTCTCTCTCTCAACTCTAATTTGATCTCTGGTCTCACAGATCAAGTGTAGTTTTCGACACGGTCCATGGCGTTGTCTACTTCAGAAAAGGTATATCAGAGTCTCTCTCTCTCTCTCTCTCTCTCTCTCTCTCTCTCTCTCATCCTCTGTGTGTTTTGGGATGCAATTTTGGGTTTTCCTAGTGTTTTGTTTGTTGCTGATTTGTCTCGATTTGATTTTGGATCTCCCAATTTGTCTACCTTAGATGCTTTCACTGAGATTCCTTTTATCTTTCTTTGTTCTTGTTTCTGGTAATTTGATTGTGTCGATTGATCAATGTTGTGTTGTTCAAATTACAAAATTTTTTGTTAGCTTACTTTGTTTGATGGGTTTTAGGGTTTATGCTTTCATGCTTCATGACCAGACTGAAGGGGATTAATGTGTCATTTCTTACAATTATGGGTGGTGCCAATGCAATTTATTGATTTGGTTTTTGGGTACTTCCAGTATTAGGGTTTTGTTTTTGGTTTGGGAAGAGGGGTTTTATTAAAGAATGATTCTTGGTTCTGTATCTTATTTCGCATTGATTATTTTAGCTGTCTTGTAATTGGGTTTTTTTTTTTTTTTTTGCTTGAATGCTAGGTTCACAGACAGAGCTGAAACTTGATGCTGGGGTTTTTCTTTGTTCCTACATTTCAAGTGAACAAATCTTATATTACTTGGAGGCATTCTCAGAAGTAATGAATTAATACACCTAAGATTTCGCATTGGGAATGAAGCCATTGGTCCGTGTAGCATATTCATGTATGTATCGAATTAATATTTCCACTAACAGACACCATGCTTATGGATGTGAATCCAGAAACTCTAAGATTTGTCTTTTTTTTATATGAGTTTCAATAGTCTAAATGGGATTCAAGTTTTGAAATGGGTTTGAAATATACAAGTGTTCTCTAGCCTTGTCTAAATCAATTTTATGTTTTTTTTTTTTCCAATTTTTTCATTATGTAATGCAATCTATAATATCTATGAAGTTCATGTCTTCTTCTTTGTAATTTTGCACCTTAAATGTTTATTTATTTACTTCATTGAACTTCAATGTAATGGCTTTCATTTTCCTACATATTTCCTACAACAACAAAGGGTTTTGCACCTTAAATGTTTATTTATTTACTGTGGTCTATGATTTGTTTGTAGTAATTCTCCATATGGTATGCAGATTCAATCATTTCACTTTTTATTGGATTGAAACATTTGTCTAATCTTTTTATTGTGTTAGGATTTCCCCTCTTGTTTGTGACAGGAAACAAACAAGAATTCTGCATGTCAAGTGTTTGAAGATATTTCCGAGAGATAACCCATCAACCCATCAAACCATCAACCCAATGCTGTTGAAAAACTTATGGTATATTAACCTCTTATAAAATGACTATTCTATTTGTAATAGGGCATAAAAGTTTTTAAGAATTCAAATGAGATATTGTAAAGGGAAGGGAGTGTCGTATATCAATGTTGTGCAATTGAACCTATAATAGATTTTTTTTTTAATATTTTAATACTGCCTCACCTATAATAGATTTTAATTAATTAATTAATTTTTGGTGTAGGAACATTTCTTTTCTCCTTGAGTAGGGGTGGTAGTGATTTGACAACCACAACCATTGGTAAAGCTCTGGGGTTACGAGAAATTCAGGTCAATGCTTACCCTAAATACATTTATGTCAAAAGTTGTTCATATATCTGCATATGTATACATGGATATGGGATAACATTGTGGATAACATACTATGGAACAGTGTGAAACAGTGTATTCTTATGAGCTCTAGTTGTATGAAAATTTAATTCAGGTTCTATAATTTGTAATTGCACGACTTCCATACAAGTTTCTAGACAAATAAGAACATGTTTTTCAATCCATTACTGGTGTGGAAGGATGTTGATGGTGTTTTGACGTGTGATCCTAACATATATGCACTCGCAGAACCTGTGCCATATCTAACATTTGAGGACCCGGCATAGCTTGTTTATTTTGGTGCTCAGTTATCATTTTAGGGAAATTCTACTATACACACCTCCTATCATATGCACCCCTAAGTTATGTCATTTTCTTATTTAGTTATGATCAATTTTCTTATTTAGTTATGACCTTATTTTAGTTATGATTTATGAGATCTTTGGTTATGCGTCATGTGTTGTTTGGTTATAGCCTCTTTTTTTTTTAGTTATGACTCTGAAAGTATAAAGTTATGTCATTTTATTTTTTAGTTATGAGGTGCATACGGTACACCCCAATCTAGAAACAAACACTGCTAGACAAAACAAATAGAGGTAGACTATGAATTTTCCATAAGCCCCATCCAGAAGGATGATGGACAAAAACAAATCAAAGGCTTCCATAACCTGTGAACCAAGAGCCCCAAAACTAAATTGAACTATACAAATCATACTGAATCTCAATTGAACCGTACGATTCACTTAATTTAAGATTCAACAGAACAAATAGAATCTTTTCAGTTGAAACTTGTATCAAATTGTGAATCGTAAGATTCTTATAACCAAGATTGTTCTTACTTGTGTATATATGTACATAGATGCACTTAGATTTGTAATTTGTTTCAGTCAATTTGAGGAGAAGTTTGAGGAGATCAATGGTGATGAGGCATCCCCTAGTATTCCTTTGACATCAGGGTTTGATGGAAATTCAGCTACACCAATGGTAACTGAAGAAAGCAGAAATGACACTGAAAAGCAGGGTCAAGAAGATCATAGATTATGCTCTGATATAAATGCCTCACAAGACTTTGTGAGTGGGATCATGAAGACTGTCCCAGAAGTTGATGTGAGTCCTTGAATTTAACCAATTATTAGTTGTTTTGGTTAGGAGGTACAAATTGCCAAGAAGCTTCTATTTGCACACCACACTTCTTAGTTCACACCTTTTTTTTCGTTTAGATATCATATTATTTATCAAACAAAAATAAATTGCTTGGATATCAACCAAACAAAAACCCAGTTCGGTTGTTGATATCTCAACGATTAATTTTTGTTCGGATGTTGATATCCAAACAATTGATTTTTGTTTGGTAGTTGATATATGACTACCAAATTGGTGTGAATTGAGAAAAAGGGTACTGTGCAACTATAACCAATGCTATTTAGAGAATAGTTATTGCCTTGCGGCTTTACCAAAAACCAATAGCCAGAGTTTTCCTATCAGTGGTGGTCCAAGTCCATGAACAGTTTGCAAATTTGCTTACCTTGGGTTAGCAAATCAAAATAGAGAGAGAACATCATGATTTTGATATATGTATATGTATATATTTTTCTGGTCTTTGCAGAGCGATGCAGATTACTGGCTTTTACCAGATGGCGATGTTAGCATTACAGACATGTGGACAGAGCATATCCTATACTCTTGAGCTTGTGTGCCTATGTGGGTTTTGAGATTGTGAGGACATTAAGAGGGCCAGGCTGCAAAAATGCAGCAGTTCTTTGAGTGGTCCTCAAAAAGGAAAGTTGGTGTTTTTAATTTATGCTAATTTTGTACCCAGCTTACCTTTGTGCATATCTAATTTTGGATGTTGTATTGAGTGGATGATTATTACATCTGGTCTGTTTTTGAAGCCTATCCTAGAGGGCTGTGTCTGGAGGTATTTTTCTGCTCCTTTTGTTGTATGCTGCTGCTATATGCTTTGCTGCCAGCTGCTGCTCTATCTATTCCTTACTGCTGTGGCCTTATGCTATTTGCTATTGTGGGATTCAGAAAGTGCAGGAATAGATGATACATGCACTGAAGTTGTATGCAACAATTATGATGGAACAATGGTTGACCCTACATTAGAATTGTTGACCAATACTTTAAATGTCTATTCAGGAGACAGTTCAGTGCTTCTTTTTCAAATGTGGAAGTTTCTGCTTCTTTTGGGAACGGTGAAGGCTTCCAAAATGCAAGGAGTATCTCAGATCGAGAAGAGCGTTCTACATTAGAGGAAGATACATTGCCAAATTCTGTTGTTGATAGGGTGAATGTTGTAGAGGTTCCCAATCAGAGCTCATTGGATACAATATCGCAAGAATGCTCTCTGTCGTTGTTGTCGATTTGCAGTACGGCGCAGCAACGGCGGCTTCTAAGAACTCATGGGTATGTCAATTTCAGTATTACATTTAGTATTTTCTGGGGAGTATATGTAGGAAGTATGCCTTCTTTAATAGGAATACTACAGCATAATGGCACTGTAACCATAGGAACATTACGTTGGTCATGCTTGGTAAAGTGTTGTTCTTATGGATTTTACTTGATATTTTGATACGATGTTGCAAAAATTGAAATTCAAATGGTCATTAGTTTATTAGTTTAATAGAAGCTATGCTAATCTTTTTGGGTGTATCCATCTTTGGAGGCTATTATGAATTTAACTGAAGAATGGACTATAGTTTCCATGGTGATGAGACAGTGGCTGGAAGAAAGTGAGAACAAGAGATAACTTTTATTCACCCAAAAAAAGATTTATAACTTGCTTTCCTATATAGTTTGATTTAGAAGAATATTTCCATGTTTAGTTGTAAGGAATTGCATTTGTTGATAATTAACTTTTGGAAGATCTTTTGTGGTGTATTGTATTATATTTTGATTTTCAATTTGGTAAAAGAAATGGAGCTGTATCATTTTCTATGGGTTGATTTACTTGGAAATACTTGTAATTTGTAAAATTTATTATTTTTTCTTTAGATAATATTTGTGAAATGATTTTCACACTTTTCTTTTAACCTTTCACAACGGGAGTGTGAGAGGCTAACGGGGGAGAGTGAATATAATTTCTCTAATATTATTATTCAATAGAATGTAGATCCATTGCAATATTTTGAATTTTATCAAGGTCAGTTTTGTGGTAATTGGCATTTGAGGCCACCTTTATTATCAATTCTAACTTGCTTTGGAATTTTCTGTTTCTATTTACAGCATTCATGGGCAATGTGCAGCAACTATGAAATCTCTGTTAAGAGTAACTATAACTTTGAAAAACCTTTCTTGCACCTTGCCAGGAAGCTTGCAGGGTAATGGAATAGTACATTGTTTGTTATTTTATTTTTTGTTTATTTATACTGGTGGAATTGTAGACTATTAGATAAAGATAAGCAATTAGTTGCAGGGGACTATTAGATAAAGATAAGCAAGAAAACATCACAAATAATTATCTTTATCTTTGCAGGGGAACTCTCCAAAGGAACCTTTTGAATTAATATCATTAGAAAAATGAAAAAATAGTGTGATAAAAAATCCATCAAAGATAGTGTGATAATATCATTAGTTGCATCATGATGTAATGAAAAAATAGTGTGATAATATCATTAGTTGCATCTAGATTAGGTGCATTTAAACATATAAGAAAAATTTGATTAAAATATGAAAAAAAAAATCCACCAAAGATTAAAAAATACGAAGAACAAAATTTCGTAAACAAATTTCAAATTTTATTTTTTGATGGTGGTGGTGGTGGTGGTGGTGGTGGTTCACAGTTCTTAAATTTTTAACTTGTGGGGAACATTAGAGTTCAGGAATGAAAATTTATGAGTTGCTGTTAATGATCAATTTGTGGTGTTTCTTATCCCTTTGGTATTCTTTACAGGCACGAAGCTGAGCTTGCTGCAGTGGCTAGCCAGCCCCTTCCTGATGATGATGACGATGCATTTGACTAATGCTCATGGCTTTGGCTTTTTGCTATCATTTTTCGTGCTCCTTTAGTTAATATGAGTTCTAAAAAAAAAATTTCAACGCTATCGAAGGATTTGTGTATGAGAGGTGAATATATTGCAGAGAAGAGACAATTTTAGTTATTCTTTAGCCATTGTTTGAAGTCTGGTTGTGGTTGTGCTTTGTGGTGTAATTCTTTAGGCTGCCATATGGATGTTTTGAGTCACTTCAAGTGTTTGCTTGAAGATTTTAAATTATGTATGGATTTAAATTATTGACGTTGGATTAGACTTGAACTGTATGGAATTTGTAATATATATAGAATTGGACGTTGAAGATTACTTTTTTGGATGCTTGGAACTGAAATGTGTGCACGTTGTTGAATTCTTTAATGGTTGATAACATATTTTAGTGTTGATGGATTATATTGTTTTATACAGGGTACAGGCTGTAATATAAATGAATACAGGTTGTTTACAATTTTTTTTTTTTTTTTTAAAAAGCAAGAAATTATTTGGCCACCAAATGTTTTGGTAGCCAAATAGGTAATCAAAAGTTTTGGCTATTAATAATTTAGTAACAAAAACATAACCCAAAACGTTTTTGCCACCAAATAATTAGTAGCTAAAAGATTTGAGAATGAGAGAAAGAAACTATTGGCGACTAATACTTTAGTGGCGGAAACATATCTTTTGCTGACTAAACTAAGATTAGTAGCCAAATGTGTACTTTCGGCGACCAATTATTTAGTAGTTAAAAGTGATACCTTCCCCGACCACAACAAGTTAGTAGCCAAAAAGCCTCATTCGGCGACTAATACTTTTAGTGGCGGAAACATACCTTTTGCCGACTAAACTAAGATTAGTAGCCAAATGTATACACTTTCGGCGACCAAACAAATTTTAGTCGCCAATACTATCGCCGACAGGGTAAAGGCGACAAGCTTAGCGACAAAAAATTTTGGTCGCTAAATCGTTTCGGCGACTAAATAATTGACTTTTGGCGACTAATATTTTGGTAGCCAAAAGTGACATTTCTTGTAGTGTAAGGCCGAATGCCATATTTGCTGCATAACTCTCGATATACGCCACAATCGAACTGGGTGCCATTGTCTGAGATGAGAGCTCTCGGAATGCCAAATCGTGTTATGATGTTTCTCCATACAAAGCGTTTAATGTCGGCATCTCGTATATGTGTCAAAGCCTCCGCTTCGACCCATTTTATGAAGTAGTCTGTCGCGACAATTAAGAATCACTTGTTCCCTGGGGCCCTGGGCAATGGTCCTGCGATATCAAGTCCCCACTGAGCAAACGGCAGGGGCTGGTGATAGAATTCAATTCTTTGGCAGGCAGATGGGTTAATGGGGACAACTTTTGGCACTGTTCGCATTTTTTTAAATAACTCTTCGCGTCAGCTCTTATTGTCGGCCAATAGTATCCCTGCATTATAGCTCGATGGGCCAGGGAGCGTCCGCCAGAATGGGCACCACAACTGCCCTCATGTATCTCTATCAGAAGCCCCTCCACTTTGTCAGGGTGCACGCATTCCAAATATGGACCAGAGAGGGACTTTTTGTAAAGCCCTCATTGCGGATCCAGATAGTATTGCAGGGCTTTATTTCGCAGCTTGTGTGCTTCTTTTTTGTCCTTTGGGAATTGTTCAGAGGAGAGGAATGCAGCAATGGGGTCCATCCAGCTTAGTGCGGATTCTATAACGTTGACATGGATTTCATTCGGAGGGCCAATGCTCGGCTCCGGGACGAAACCTACTTCGATGGTCCGCTTGATCTCAGAATTGATGGCGGAGGCTAGGCACACCAAGGCATCCGCGTGTGTGTTCTGGTCGCATGTTATTTGGTTCAGTTCGTGATGGTCAAATTTTGCCAGCAAGGAATTGGCCGTTTTCATGTGGGCCGCCATACGGTCGTTTCTTGCCACGTATTCCCCCTTTAGCTGATTGATTACCAATTTTGAATCACAAAACACAAGTAGACGCTAAGTGCCGAGAAGGTGCGCATTCTGCAGACCGGCTAGAAGGGCTTCATATTCGGCTTCGTTATTTGATTCTTCGAAGCCAAGCTTGACGGCCTGCTCAATTACTGCGCCGTCTGGAGACATGATTACAACTCCGGCGCCATTGCCCCTTTGGTTAGATGATCCATCACAGTACAATTGCCAAAGTCAATTCACCGGTTAGATGATCCATCACAGTACAATTCTCCAGTTCGGCTTTGGTAGAACTTCAGCCTTTGGTCGAGCTTCATCAGGTTTGAGGTCGGTGAGCTCGCCGGTGAATTCGGCAACAAAGTCGGCCAACACCTGCCCCTTGATTGCAGTTTTAGGTAAAAATTGAATGTCGTATTGGCTGAGTTCAAGAGCCCATTTTGAAACACGTCCTGATGCTTCCGCACTCCGTAGAACTAATCGGAGGGGATAATTTGCTAGCACCCCAATGCTATGTCCCTGGAAGTAATGCATCAGTTTTCTTGCCGCCATGACTAGGGCTAAGATGAGTTTTTCCAGTGGAAGGTAGCGAGTTTTGGCGTCAACCATTGCCTTGCTCACATAATAAACTGGCCGTTGCTCCCCCTCCTCTTCTTTTAACAGTACGGCGCTGATGGCCCTATCGGGTCACCAGCGGCGGGTGTTATCAAGAGAGGTACTGAGCGGAGGTAGGTCTTGAGTCCGTTGAAAGCTGTTTCGCATTCGGCAGACCATTCAAAAGCCTTACCCTGCCGTAGTGTTTGAAAAAATTGTCGGCAGCGATCTGTAGACCGACTGATGAACCTGTTGAGTGCAACAGCCATCTCCATCAACTTTTGGACTTCTTTTACTGAGCGAGGGGAGCCAAGTTCCAAGATTGCTTTGACTTGCCTTGGGTTGGCTTCGATTCCTCAGTGATTGACGCTGTAACCCAGGAATTTGCCAGAGCCGATTCCGAACGCACACTTGGAAGAGTTTAGTTTCATTCTGTATTTACGTAAGATGCTAAATGTCTTTTCTAGATTGGCTATATGACTCTGTTCTTCTTTGGACTTGACCACCATATCGTTGATGTATACTTCCATAGTGTGGCCGAGTTGCTCTTTGAACATGGCGGTGACCAATCTTTGGTAGGTTGCCCCTGCATTCTTCAGCCCAAAGGGCATAACTTTGTAGCAATAGGTTCCTCTTAGGGTGAGGAAGGCAGTTTTATCCTGGTCATCTGGATGCATGGCGATTTGATGGTAGCCTCTGTAAGCATCGAGGAAGCTCATGTGTTGGTGGCATGCAGTCGCATCGACGAGCTGGTCGATTCTAGGTAGAGGAAAACAGTCTTTGGGGCAAGCTTTGTTCAGATCCGTGAAGTCGACGCACACTCGCCAAGTCCCATTTTTCTTCTTCACCACCACTGTATTGGAGAGCCACGCAGGGTAAGTGACTTCTCTAATTGCCCTGGCGTCAAGCAGTCTGTCTACCTCCTCAACAACGGCGGCAGTGTGCTCCACGGCTGACCGTCGGCCTTTTTGAATGATCGGCTTACATTTCGGATTGACATTCAAATGGTGCTGTGAAATTAACGAATTTATTCCCGACATTTCATACGGAGTCCACGCAAAGACGTCAAGGTTGTTGTGCAAGGAAGAGATCAGCTGCTGCCTGTTGGCCTGATTCAGAGAGGCGCCGATCATGAAGAACTTTTCTGGGCTGCCATCAATGTCAACTCGGTTCAAATCTTCCGTGGCCTTCTCATTTGGATACCGCCCAACATCGTCCAGGATCTCCCGACTCGGCACCTCAATGGAGTTTACTTGCAGTTCCTTTGGCATTCTGGCGGCAAGGAGATAACATGCTTGTGCCAATTTCTGGGATCTGCGGATTTGCTTAATGCCGTGTTCTATTGGGAAACGTAGCAGTTGATGATAGGTGCTTGGGACGGCCTGCAAGGTATGCAACCACGATCGGGCCATGATGAGATTGTACGACGATGGCAGCCTGACGACCAAGAATTCCACGTCCACCGTTCTGGAACCTGCTTGAACGGGTAAGCTGATTTTTCCCAATGGGTACTCTAGAGTGGTGTAGACACCCCATTTTTGACCGTCCTCAAGACCTGGACGTCACCGTCTGAACACTCGGTGATCATCTATGTTTGTGTTCGTTTGGAGTTCCCGGAGGTCTCGGCTCGCGCGCCTTGCCTCAGGATCTCCGAACTCGACTGTTTAGTGTCTGGTTTTGCACCAAACACTTGTGTTTTGCCTTGGAAAGACAGGGAATGCCTTGTGAGGCATCCCAACACATCACCGGCCATGGCCAGAGGCCACCGGCTGGTGTTTTGCTTCCATCGGCAATATATATTGCCGGTCGGCATTCTTTGTTGTCGGTCGCCACCCCCTTTTGCCAAAATGGCATTTTTGGGCAGCCGACTACTGTTCATCTGCTTTTGTAGATATTTTATTACAGCTGTCTTGCATTTGGCTCCCCATGGAGGGATCTCTCTCTTTAGAAGCTTGTCTTATAAGCTTTACAAGACAAAAAGCTCTATAAGAGGAGCCCTCCTCTCCCTTGTTTAGGTTAGAGATTTTAGACAGCCATATTAGGGTTGTGAGTTCTAGGGTTAGGATTGATACACATTCTATCTCTATACCTCTCTCTCTTTTACCTTTGTGTGCGTTTAAGTGTGTTTGTGTCTTACTATTGCACACAAACACATAGTGTTTCACCTTTCCTTGGTTCCTTGAAAAACCAGAGGTTGTTCTTGGTGTTCTTGGGTGGTTTTGAGCTTGAAGAACCAGCTGGTCCACCATTTGTGAAGAAAGTCAACAAGGGTAAGAAAGTAGTCCATTTATTCCCCCTTTTTGCATTGTATTTTTACCTATCTTAAAATTGTTTTTGAGCTTGGTGTATAATATAAAAAAGATCTGTTTTTAGGCCCTCTAAATAGTTTGTTTAGAGTGTTTTGTGGTTTGGAGGTGTTTGACCCCTCTTAGGCCTTGAAAGGCCCCATTTTGTGCTATTTTGGGTGAGCTCCGAGACCTTGATGTTTGGGCCTCCTCACCACTGAAATCTTGAGGGATTTCAGAGGTG